GTGTCGGTCTCTCAGGTGTGTCTGTCTGTCCTCAGGTGTGTCTGTGTCTCCAGGGGTGTCTGTCTCTCAGGTGTGTCTATCTGTCTCTCAGGTGTATCTGTCTGTCTCTCAGGTGTGTCTGTCTGTCCTCAGGTGTGTCTATCTGTCTCTCAGGTGTGTCGCTCTCAGGTGTGTCTGTCTGTCCTCAGGGTGTCTGTCTCTCAGGTGTGTCTGTCTGTCCTCAGGTGTGTCTGTCTGTCCTCAGGTGTGTCAGTCTCTCAGGTGTGTCTGTCTGTCCTCAGGGGTGTCTGTCTCTCAGGTGTGTCTATCTGTCTCTCAGGTGTATCTGTCTGTCTCTCAGGTGTGTCTGTCTGTCCTCAGGTGTGTCTATCTGTCTCTCAGGTGTATCTGTCTGTCTCTCAGGTGTGTCTGTCTGTCCTCAGGTGTGTCTGTCTGTCCTCAGGTGTGTCTGTCTGTCCTCAGGTGTGTCTGTCTGTCCTCAGGTGCGATCATCCGGTGGACAGAGCAGGTCTTTTCTCCTTCATGACGTTTCATTGGCTGACCCCTCTGGCCAAACACGCCTACAGGAAACGACAGCTCCTATTGGACAACATCTGGCCCGTGTCACAGCGGGAGGGTTGCCATGCCAACAGCCTGAGGTAGGAGGAGCTAATGAATCAGTTTGCCTACATTTCCCAGAATCCATCATGATGGATTTTAAGGATGATGTTGTTGTTGATATTTGTTGTTGTTGTCCTCAGGTTGGCGTCTCTGTGGGAGGACGAGCAGAGGTCAAAGGGCAGCGATGCGTCTTTGTGTTCGGTGGTTTGGTTGTTCTGTCGGGCTCGTCTCCTCCTCTCCATCCTCTGTCTCACCGTCACTCAGCTGGCAGGATTCAGTGGGCCGGTGAGTCCGCACCAGTTAGACCAGTATAACTCATATAACCAGTATAACTAATATAACTAGTATAACCAGTATAACTAATATAACTAATATAACTAATATAACTCATATAACAAATATAACTTATATAACTAATATAACCATTATAACTAGTATAACTAATATAACTAATATAACTAGTATAACCAGTATAACTAATATAACTAATATAACTCATATAACAAATATAACTTATATAACTAATATAACCATTATAACTAGTATAACAAATATAACTCATATAACAAATATAACTTATATAACTAATATAACCATTATAACTAGTATAACTAATATAACTCATATAACCAGTATAACTAATATAACTCATATAACAAATATAACTTATATAACTAATATAACCAAAACCAGTATAACTAATATAACTCGTATAACAAATATAACTTATATAACTAATATAACTCATATAACCAGTATAACTAATATAACTCATATAACAAATATAACTTATATAACTAATATAACTCATATAACCAGTATAACTAATATAACTCATATAACTAATATAACTAATGTAACCAATATAACTCATATAACAAATATAACTAATATAACCAGTATAACCAGTATAACCAGTATAACTAATATAATCAATATAACTCATATAACTCATATGACAAATATAACTAATATAGCCATTATAACTAGTATAACTAATATAACCAGTATAACTATATAACTATATAACCAGTATAACTAATATAACTCATATAACCAGTATAACCAGTATTTAATAACTTTTGAATTCATACTATTAGATTATAAGCCATTAGGCAAAACTTCCTACAGCAGATGTCTATCTGACAGTGCTGTAGCTAAATTTAAGGAGGAGATTCCTTCAGTGTTTAATTCAATGCCATGTCTGAATTTAACAGAGTCCTATAACGACTTTAGTCCCTCTGAAATTGATAATCTTGTCGATAGTGCTACAGGCTCACTACGATCAACATTAGACTCTATCGCTCCTATAAAAAGGAAATTATTAAAACATAGGAGACTAGCACCTTGGTATAACCACCAAACCCGCCAGTTAAAACAAATAGCTAGGAAATCTGAAAGGAAATGGCGCTCTTCCAAATTATCAGAATATCGCTCAAATTGGCAAGATAATCTTAAAACTTATAGAAAGGCCCTCCGTAATGCCAAAGGAGCCTATTACTCAGCACTAATAGAAGAAAATAAGAACAACCCTAGGTTCCTCTTCAGCACTGTAGCCAGGCTGACAGAGAGTCACAGCTCTATTGAGCCACATATCCCCATAAACTTAAGTAGCAATGACTTCATGAGCTTCTTCTATAATAAAATTATTACTATTAGAGAGAAAATTAATCACCAACTGCCATCAACAGTTATCAGTGGCTCTCCAAGTTCAGGGACTTCTGTCAGTGTAAACTTAGATATATATTTAGACTGTTTTTCTGCTATCGATCTTCATCAGTTAATCTCAATAATTTCTTCATCGAAGCCATCAACCTGTCTATTAGACCCGATCCCAACTAGGCTGCTTAAAGAAGTTGTTCCCTTAATTGGCACTTCTTTACTGGATATGATTAATCTTTCTTTATTATCAGGATATGTACCACAGTCCTTTAAAGTAGCTGTAATTAAACCCCCTTCTTAAAAAGTCCACTCTTGACCCAGGGGTTTTAGCCAACTATAGACCGATTTCTAACCTCCCCTTCCTCTCTAAGATTCTGGAGAAAGTAGTCGCCAAAGAGTTGTGTGACTTTCTACATAACAATAGTTTATTTGAGGATTTTCAGTCAGGATTTAGAGTTCATCATAGCACAGAGACAGCTCTGGTTAAAGTTAATAATGACCTTCTGATTGCTTCTGACAATGGACTTGTCTCTGTACTTGTATTATTAGATCTTAGTGCTGCATTTGACACCATTGACCATGATATTCTTTTACAGAGACTTGAGCATCAAATTGGCATTAAAGGAACCGCACTAAGCTGGTTTAAGTCATATTTATCAGATCGTTCTCAGTTTGTACATGTTAACGATGAATCTTCAATAAATACTACAGTTAGTCATGGAGTTCCACAAGGTTCTGTACTTGGACCAATACTATTTACTTTATCTATGCTCCCTTTAGGCAACATTATTAGGAATCACTCCATTCACTTTCACTGTTATGCAGATGATACGCAGTTATATCTATCGATCAAGCCCAATGAAATGAGTCAATGATCTAAATTACAAACATGTCTTAAGGACATAAAATCCTGGATGACCTGCAATTTTCTGATGTTAAAGAAAGAAAAAAACGAAATTCTTGTTCTTGGCCCCAAAAACCTTAGGGACTCATTGTCTAAAGATATAGTCACTCTAGATGGCATTACCTTGGCCTCTAGCACCACTGTCAGGAATCTTGGAGTTATCTTTGATCAGGATTTGTCTTTTAACTCCCACATAAAGCAGACCTCTAGGACTGCCTTCTTTCATTTACGTAATATTACAAAAATTAGACACATCCTATCACAGACAGATGCAGAAAAACTAATCCATGCATTTGTTACTTCAAGGCTGGATTACTGCAACTCTTTATTATCAGGTTGCCCCAATAAGTCCATTAAAACGCTCCAATTAATTCAGAACGCAGCAGCACGAGTACTGACAGGAACTAGAAAAAGAGATCACATCTCTCCTGTACTAGCTTCTCTGCATTGGCTTCCTGTAAAATGTAGAATAGAATTTAAAATCCTCCTCCTCACCTATAAAGCTCTTCATGGTCAGGTCCCTTCATATCTTAAAGAGCCCATAGTACCCTATTACCCCACTAGAACACTACGTTCTCTGAATGCTGGGCTACTTGTGGTTCCTATAGTCTCTAAAAGTAGAACAGGAGCCAGAGCCTTCAGTTACCAAGCTCCTCTCCTGTGGAACCAGCTTCCAGTTGTGGTTCGGGAGGCAGACACCCTCACCACATTCAAGAGTAGGCTTAAGACATTCCTCTTTGATAAAGCTTATAGTTAGGGCTGGATCAGGTGAGTCCTGAACCATCCCTTAGTTATGCTGCTATAGGCCTAGACTATCGGGGGATTTCCCATGGTGCACTGAGCTCCTCCCTTCCTCTCTCTTTCTGCACTCATTCATGTCCCATTAATGCATGTTACTAACTTCACTTCTTCCCCGGAGTTCTTGTGCTTTCTCGTCTTGCAGGTTCTTGTCGATCCTGGTGGAGCCTCCTGCCATGGTCCTGCTAGATTGCCATTGCCAATACTGTTGTTGCTGTGCACCTGTCTGTCTGTCTGTCTGTCTCTCTCTCCCTCTCTCTCTCTCTCTCTCTCTCTCTCTCTCTCTCTCTCTCTCACCCCAACTGGTCGAGACAGACGACCACCCACCTAGAGCCGAAGGATCTGTCCTAGGTTTCTGCCTTTTAACAGGCAGTTTTTCCTTGCCCTTGTCTCCAAGGTCTTGCTCATGGTGGTACTGTTGGGTCTCTGTAAATAATGTTAAAGAGTTTGGTCTAGACCTGCTCTATTTGAAAAGTGTCCTGAGATAACTTCTGTTATGAATTGGCGCTATACAAATAAAATTGAATTGAATTGAATTGAACTAATATAACAAGTATAACCAGTATAACTACCACCCCCCCAGGCGTTTGTGGTGAGGCGTCTGCTGGAGTACACCCAGCGGGAGGAGTCTGATCTGGCCTACGGTCTGCTGCTGGTTCTGGGTCTGCTGACGACAGAGCTGATCCGGTCCTGGTCTCTGGCTCTGACCTGGGCCCTGAACTACAGGACGGGGTCCCGACTGAGGGGGGCCATCCTGAGTCTGGCCTTCAACAAGATCCTGAAGCTCCGCAGCTTCAGGGACAAGTCCATGGGACAGGTCTCATTACTGTCTGTTTCCTTTATTTTCTATTCTGTGACCATGCTGCTGTGAGACAGATATTCAATCTCTGTCTGTCTGTACTGTCTGTCTGTCTGTCTGTCTCTCTTCTGTCTGTACTTTTTTTTTTTCTCTTTCTCTCTTTTTTTTTTTTTTTTTTTTTTATATTCTTCTCTCTCTTTCTATATTCTCTGTCTCTCTGTACTGTCTGTACTGTCTGTCTGTCTCTCTCTCTGTCTGTCTGTACTGTCTGTTTGTCTGTCTCTCTGTCTCTCTGTCTGTCTGTACTGTCTGTCTGTATACTGTCTCTCTCTCTTTCTATATTCTCTGTCTGTCTGTCTGTCTGTCTGTCTGTCTGTCTCTCGCTCTCTCTCTCTCTGTCTGTCTGTACTGTCTGTTTGTCTGTCTCTCTGTCTCTCTGTCTGTCTGTACTGTCTGTCTGTATACTGTCTGTACTGTCTCTCTTTCTATATTCTCTGTCTGTCTGTCTGTCTGTCTGTCTTCTCTCTCTCTCTCTCTCTCTCTCTCTCTCTCTGTCTGTCTGTACTGTCAGTTGGTGAACATGTGTTCCAGTGACGGTCAGAGGATGTTTGAGGCAGCAGCAGTGGGTAGTCTGTTAGCAGGAGGCCCCCTGGTGGCCGTCCTCGGAGTCGCCTACAACCTGTTTGTGCTCGGACCGACATCGTTACTGGGATCAGCCGTCTTCATCCTCTTCTACCCAACCATGGTCAGTCACTGTCTGTCTGTCTGTCCGTCTGTCTGTCTGTCTGTAGTTATACCTCACAGACAGTGAACACATTGATATCAGCCAGTGTAACCTCGTAAGGATGAACATTCAGAACTCCACTTAGAAATCACAGAAAACAGAATCATGATGTTTTTAAGTTTTCTTCAGTATAAAAGTCGTCCAATGTTTTCTCTGAATCTAAATTATATTTATTCTTTGCTCCTTTTTGGTTCCAGCTCCTGTAAAGAGTTTTTTATGTGCGTATCTTCCTCCTTTTTCTAACTAATTATTGTGCTTTAAAAACACTATTTCTTAAAGGGAGTCTGGTATTGAGCCAGCCTACATACCACACCACAGATACTGTCTGTGATTAAATCATCTCCTACCTGATCAGGTATATTAATTGTTACTTTCTGATCAGATGTTCAGCTCCAGACTGACGGCGTACTTCAGGAGGAAGGGCGTGGCCGTCACTGACAGACGGGTGCAGAAGATGAACGAGATCCTCAGCTACATCAAGTTCATTAAGATGTTTGCCTGGGTCAAAGCCTTCGCCCAGGACGTCCACAGTACGTATTCACCTGCTCACCTGGTTGCCATGGTAACGGAGGTGGTGGCGGGTTTTCTAACTCAAGCTTTCATGCAGGGATCCGCGACGAGGAGCGGAAGATCCTGGAGCTGACGGGTTACTTCCAGAGCATCACTGTGGGCGTGGCTCCCATCGTCGTCGTCATCGCCAGCGTGGCAACGTTCTCCGCCCACTTGTTGCTCGGATACGACTTGACAGCAGCTCAGGTACCTGTGCTGCGTAGTTTTTTAGCATTGTTAGCATGTTAGCAGGCTGCAGCTAATGTTGGTCTGTCTCTGCAGGCCTTCACTGTAGTGACCGTGTTTAACGCCATGACCTTCGCCCTGAAGGTCACTCCCTTCTCTGTCAAGTCTCTGTCCGAGGCATCAGTGGCCACAGAGAGATTCAAGGTCTGACACCAACCTACGTAGCTTCCTACCTGCTGTTGATGAAGGGATGAATCCGTTTGACCTCTGTCTCTCCTCTCAGAGTCTCTTCCTGCTGCCGGAGGTCGACAGTGTGCGAGTGTTGCCTGGTGATCCTCAGGTTGCCGTGGAGATGTGTGAGGCCAGCCTGGCGTGGGAGGGCGGCGGACAGAGCGCTCAGCCCAGCCCGTGTGTCCGAACAGCCGGCAGACACCGACACAAGTACACTGAGACTTCTGCTTTTTCTCTGTGTAACGTTCATTAAACTGTAGCTAACAGCGCCCCCAGTGGTCGTTCAGTGAACTGTAGCTAACAGCGCCACCAGTGGTCGTTCAGTGAACTGTAGCTAACAGCGCCACCAGTGGTCGTTCAGTGAACTGTAGCTAACAGCGCCACCAGTGGTCGTTCAGTGAACTGTAGCTAACAGCGCCACCAGTGGTCGTTCATTAAACTGTAGCTAACAGCGCCCCCAGTGGTCGTTCAGTGAACTGTAGCTAACAGCGCCCCCAGTGGTCGTTCAGTGAACTGTAGCCAACAGAGACAAACACTGAACGCTGTAAAATAACTGACAATCATATTTAGAATAACGTTTCTATCTGCAAAGTTCCTATATTTTATTTGGACCGTTAGCTCCATGCTACTAACTAGCTCGCTGTTTTACAAATCAGCCCATCAGCCAACACCAGACCCACAATGCAACGCCAAGACACAGCCAGCCGGACAACCCCAGTTAGCTTAGCTACAGTTAGCTAGCTGCCTCGCATCACTCTTGGCTAGTAGAAAGCTATCGTTAGCTCTGTGTTGTGGTGGGTGTTTGTAGACGTTAGCAGACTCCATTTATAAGCTAACGTTAGCTAGTGTTGTGTGTGGTGACTTTCAGGTGCAGAGACAGAGTGGTTCTGCAGGAGGAGGTGACCGGCTCCCTGCTGGGAGGAGGAGGAGATGTAGCCTCGAGTCAAGAGGAGGAAGAGGGGCAGGAGGAAGCCTGTCCTCCCCTCCTGCCTGTCCCTCCGGTCTCCCAGAGACTTCAGAGCACCCTGCACTGCATCAGCCTGAGTGTGGAGCAGGTACTGGACCTACCTGGGTCCAAGAACCAGGTCCAAATACTGCAACACCTGTGTGAGAGTGAACATCATGTATCATTAATGCCTGTCTGCCTGTCTGTCTGTCTGTCTGTACAGGGGAAGCTGCTTGGTGTCTGTGGAAGTGTCGGCAGTGGGAAAACCTCCCTGATCTCTGCCATCTTAGGACAGGTGAAGTTACTTCCTGTATAATCAGTATCCTCCTACAGCTGCTGCTGGAATGAGTGGTATTGATTATTGATCTGTGTATTGGCAGATGACTCTGTTGAAAGGCAGCGTGGCCGTCAGAGGAAGGCTGGCCTACGTGGCTCAGCAGGCCTGGATCCTGAATGCAACCCTGAGAGACAACATCCTGTTTGGGCAGGAGTACCAGGAGGACAGGTGAGGGAGGACGTCTGGAGGAACTACCGGCCCGGTCTACAAGGACGGACTGACTGACTTCTGGTTGTCTGTCTGCAGGTATCAGTCCGTGCTGAGTGCCTGCTGTCTCAGACCAGACCTCGCCCTGCTGCCCAACGCTGACCTTACAGAGGTGACATCACTTCCTGTTTGACTCTTTGGTTAGAGGTAGTATGACGGAGGGAGACACCCCGATAAAAAATTGTTTTTTTTGTTTTTATTAACAACAGAGACCCCCACAGCCGCCATGCAAGCGAGATGCTGTCAGCTCTCTCACTGCAGCGTGTGCTGCGACTTTCACCAATAATCGCAGTTCCCTACACAAAACGCTTTCAAATGAATTATACAAAAACAACTATTTTTGCAACTTTCACTTAAATACTTAAAAACATCACAACATGCATCACAGTTTATTTAGGAAAGCTACCGGAATCAGGATTTTTAGGCCGTAGCAAAATCTTGGAGGGACTAGTTAGTTGACCAAAGGCTAACTCGCTAGCCAGCTAGCATAACCTTGGTAACTAATTTTAGATGTGGTTCTTTGGTGGCCCTGTAGCCTGTGAAAACTGGTTCTAGTCCCAGAACTAGCACTAGGTTCTCGTTGGTGGAAAGGAGGTACTTGAGAGTCTTTTTTTTCTGGATGGCCAAAACTCACCTTTAGCTGCTGTTGTAAGCGGTTCTTGATTCTAGACCAGAAAAGTGTTGGTGCCGTGCTGGACCTAGTCCTCCTGCCCAAGAGCCGGTTCTGTGGCTGTTGAAACAGAACGAACTGGTTAGAGATTAGTCCCTGAACCAGCCCTCAAACTGGTGAGAAGGGGACTGGCCCTTCTTGTCCTACACACATCTGAAAACCCAGGCTATCGGGTTGGACAGTAGCCTCCGATGGATTGTTAAACCCACTTTAATACTCTAATTCTTGTTATGACTAACCTCTGACAGATTAATGTATGAACAGCTTTTTAAAGACGTTCATATTTCCATCAGATTGGCGAGCGTGGTGCCAACCTGAGTGGAGGGCAGCGGCAGCGAATCAGCTTGGCCCGCGCCCTCTACAGCGACCGCGACGTTTACATCCTGGACGACCCGCTCAGCGCCCTCGACGCCCACGTGGCCAACCACGTCTTCCGCAATGCCATCAGGAAGCAGCTTTACCACAAGACCGTCATCTTCGTCACCCACCAGCTGCAGGTAAAGCCTCTCGGAACAGGTGCAGGTATGCTTCACTGCAAACGGCGGCCGCAGAGATAACCGAGTGTGTTTGTACATGTAGTACCTGGTGGACTGTGATGATGTCATCCTGATGAGGGAGGGCAGTATAGTGGAGCAGGGTAACCATGACAACCTGATGAAACTGAACAGAGACTACGCCGCCATGTTCAACCACTTCCAGCTGGGAGAAACTCCTTACATAGAGGTACCTGTCTGTCTGTCTGTCTCTTTGTTTGTGTGTTTGTCTGTCTTTCCTTTCTTGTCTTAATAACTGTCTGTCTGTCTGTCTGTCTGTCTGCTTCAGGCTCCCAGTAAAAAGAACGGTGGTTCTCAGAGGAAACCAGCAGATATTAAACCAGGATCAGTGAAGAAGAACGCACCAGTCGTCAAAGATAACAGTAACACAAAACACCTCTATTATATGATATTATTTTATATGATATTATTTTATATGATATTAAATTATATTATTTTATATTATATTATTATATTAAATTATTACTTATTATTATATTATATTGTATTTATTTATAAAATTGTACAATATTTAGATTTGAGGAAACAGTATTTTGTTAATTTTGATGAAAGTGTATTATTTTTATTGGAATATGTTTTTTTATCAAAAAGTTATTAATTACTTATTATTGGTTGCAGAGCATCGTTCATCTTTATTCGTACTAATATTAATCTCTGAATATGAAAATTATTTTTCTGCAACATTTTTATAGAATAAGGGAGAGTCGTCAGCAAATTGGTGAATAAGAATTTCTGTTTAGGAAATCCCTTTAATTTGACTATTTTTAATAATTGCATTAATTAGTTTGATTGTTTTGCACAAATAAGAAATAAATATGGAGAGGCAGGTCGGCCATGTTTGCACACATCACCTATATGGTCCTGCTCTACTGTTTTTTACCATATTTGGTTATGTGACATTAAAGGGGAGGAGCAGCCCAGTGGGGGCGTGGCCTGGCCCGTGTTTCGGCTCTACATGGCGGCGTGTGGTGGCTCCGCCTCCTGTCTGGTGATCCTGGCTCTGTTCGTCCTCAATGTGGGGAGCTCCGCCTTCTGCCAGTGGTGGCTCAGCTACTGGATCAACCAGGGCAGCGGGGTCAGATACCTCCTCCTCATCATCTCCTCATCACCTCATCACCTCGTCCTCATGATCTCCTCATCACCTCCTCCTCTTCATCTCCTCATCACCTCCTCCTTATCACCTTCTCCTCCTCACCTCCTCCTCCTCATCATCTCCTCATCACCTCCTCCTCTAGTAACTCTTTTTCTTCCTCCTTCTCCTCCTTATCACCTCCTTCTCTTCGTCACCTCCTCATCACCTCATCACCTCCTCCTCCTCCTCCTCCTCCTCCAGAACACCACAGTAACCCGGAGCAACAGCTCGGCAGTGAGCATCAGTATTAAGGACAATCCCATGATGCAACACTACGCCACTGTCTACGCCTCCTCCATGGGAGTCATGCTGCTCTTCAAACTCATCAGAGGAATCGCCTTCGTCAAGGTCAGGATGTCACACAGGATCCTAACGACCCCGTGACCTGTAAGACCACGAAAACAGAAAAATATTATTTAGTCCACGTTAGTCGTTACATGAGCATGTCTCTAGAATCTGTTGTTATTTGTAATCAATGATCAGTCTGAGAGGACAATGGAGGAAAGGGTGAATGATACTGATATCGGACACACATTAGGTTGTGCAGTGAGCTTCAGAGTGGTGTTGGAACTTGGTTGTGTCTTGCAGGGAACTCTGCGTGCCTCTTCTAAGCTGCACGACCTGCTCTTCCACAAGATCCTCCGCTGCCCCATGAAGTTCTTTGACACGACGCCTATAGCGCAAATCCTCAACCGCTTCTCCAAGGACATGGATGAAGGTAAAGGACGGGACCACACCACAGTCTAAGATCGGTATCTGGCAGAGTTGTGGTGCCGCTTGCAATAACGTGTTACTATTCTCCCTCCAGTCGACACTCGTCTGCCCTTCCAGGCTGAGATGTTCATCCAGAACGTGATCCTGGTCTTCTTCTGCCTAGGCGTCATCAGCTGTGTTTTCCCTTGGTTCCTGGTAGCGGTGGGTCCCCTGGTGTTGCTGTTCGCAGCGCTCCACAGTGTCTCCAGGGTCTTCATCCGGGAGCTGAAGCGCCTGGACAACGTGACGATGTCGCCCTTCATGTCCCACATCAGCTCCAGCATCCAGGGCCTGACCACCCTGCAGGCCTACGACAGGGGCCGCGACTTCCTCACCAGGTCAGGGTTGGAACCATAAAACCCAAGGTATGATCCAGGATTAGACCCCATGCTGAGTCTGAAGGTGTCGTTGATTTCAGGTACCAGGTTCTGCTGGACCAGAACCAGGCTCCGTTCTACCTGTTCAGCTGTGCGATGCGCTGGCTGGCGGTGCGTCTGGACGTCATCAGCGTGGCTCTGATCAGCATCACCGCCCTGATGATGGTTCTGATGCACGGGAAGATCTCCCCAGCCTACGCTGGCCTCGCCATCTCCTACGCTGTCCAGGTAACCCAAAGGCTCTTCCTGTTGGCGTTGTAAGCTGAGCTTTAGACCCAAATATTAACTGTCTGTCCCTCTTTCAGTTGACAGGGTTGTTCCAGTTCACAGTGCGTTTGGCCTCTGAGACTGAAGCTCGCTTCACTTCTGTGGAGAGAATCCATCACTACATCCAGGTACTGGCAACAGGTTCTGTTCCTGCTGGTTGCACTGGTTAACTTTCACATGTACAGCTGCTTTTCTAGCAACCACATCCACACCAAGTGCTTAAATTGTCAATCAGACAGAAACTTTATTGTGTAGAGGCTCTTATAGGCATCTTCTACCAACAGGGGACTGGCTACATCGTTCAAGCACCTACTTTTGAGCATTTCGACTTAAAAACTAAATTGGTTGGGAACCTGAAACCTTGATATCCAGCTGGAAAAATATGAGGTTTTTCTTGCGAACCAAAGTGGGCGTGTCATATTCTACAGGTCATTGTGCAACAGCCTCTGTTGATGACGCATCCTTGATTACGATAGTTCTGCTCAATACTGGTGGAAACGAGGGCCAGCTCACTACATAGCACAAACGTTCCAAGAATCTTGAAGGGAACCGGTGCAAGAACCAGAACTAATTTGGTGGAAAAGAGGCCACAGAGGAGCCGAGGACCACGTTCAGCATCAAACAAGCTGACTGGTTAATCCAACTTCCTGTCAGATTTTAGTGCATGTTGAGTCAGTTCATCATAATGTCATCATCTCTGTTTCAGCCAGCATTAATCACTATTCTCTCTATGTCTCAGTCCCTGTCCCAGGAGGCCCCGGCCCGGGTCAAAGGTTGTGCTCCTCCAGCTGACTGGCCCCAGCAGGGGGAGCTGGTGCTCAGGGAGGTGGAGATGAGGTACCAGGAGAACCTCCCTCTGGTTCTCAACAAGATCTCCTGCACAATCCGGCCCAAAGAGAAAATCGGCATTGTCGGCAGGACCGGATCAGGTAGGACAGGGTTCTGGGTTCTGTACAGGTCATGGGTTTGACTGATCTGAGTCATCCTGTGTGTCTGTGTGCAGGGAAGTCGTCTCTGGGCGTGGTTTTGTTCAGGCTGGTGGAGCGCTGTGGAGGATCCATCCTGATCGACGGCATCGACATCAGTGATATCGGACTGGCCGACCTCCGCAGCAAGCTGTCCATCATCCCCCAGGACCCGGTTCTGTTCAGTGGGACAGTCCGGTAGGAGAGTCCGTCTGATATTTGCAGCTCCTCAGAAGTTGGAAACTCAATGAGTGTCTTCTGTGACATAATGTGAGTTTAGTTCAGATGAGATGAGTTTGTTTGTGTTTCCAGGTCCAATCTGGACCCGTTTAACCAGAACAGTGAGGAGCAGATCTGGGAGGCTCTGGAGAGGAGTCACATGAAGGAGTGTGTGAGTACAAACTGCCTGCAGCACATTCATGTATGAAACATAACACATGACAAACACTGTCTACCTGTCTACCTGTCCACCAGGTGTCCCAGCTGCCCCTGAAGTTGGACTCGGAAGTGGTGGAGAACGGAGAGAACTTCTCTGTGGGAGAGAGACAGCTGCTGTGTGTTGCCAGAGCTCTGCTGAGGCAGTGCAAGGTGAGACACAGACATTAAACCCCTCCTCCTCCTCCCGGGTTCTGTCCTCTGATTGGTCAGTTCTGTCCCCTCAGGTCCTGATCCTGGACGAGGCGACGGCGGCCATGGACGCAGAGACGGACACTCTGATTCAGGAGACCATCAGGAGTTCGTTTCAGGACTGCACCACCCTGACCATCGCCCACCGCCTGCACACCGTCCTCGCCTCAGACCGCATCATGGTGCTGAACCAGGGACAGGTACTGACCGGGGTCCAGGTCTGGACCATGAGTCTGAACCAAAGTCAGAACAAAAAACAAATTTTAAAACATAAAATTCTCAACTGAAATAGAGGTTTTTTATTTTTTATTTTTATTTTAAAAACTCAAATATCAAAATGTATTTATTTGTGACTTAATAATAATCTGTTGTTGAGGTAATTTACTTTACTTTTAATAATTGCAACTGGGTTAGCAGTTAGCAGAGTTTTACTTATTTTAAATGATTTAATTATTCGTACACATACATCGTTTTTCTTTTTCATCTGCACTGTAGAATATAAACTTTACTCCATTAAACTATTAAGATTTGAAAACAAACTAAAAATAATTAATTTAATATAACATAAAATATAATTTTCTTCTTTTGAAAAACTTGAATCTTCCAAAAGGATCCAAAAAAATACATTAAAGTGAAAATTTTATATTTTCAGTTTTCACTCTGAAATAAAACAGATTTTTCAAACTTAAAGATTCTAAAGAAGAAAAGCAAATTATTGATTATATTTAACGATTATTGAGCAAAACGTATATATATTATTTATATATTATATTTAGTTTATTTCAAAACTAAACATTTAGTGAGGACAGTGCACACACATTTATACCTACATATAAAGGTATAACGTGATGGGTACGGGAGGAGGCGGGCGCTGGGACTGGGGATAAAGTTTACCGCAGGTAATAATATATAAATGTATATAAATATATATTTATATCTTTATAATATATAATGGATTATATCTTTGAGGCACATCTTGTTGAATTTGTGACTATAAAGTTAATTTAGTTCAGATGCTTCAGGTCACCAGCCGACACTTTGACTTTAAGCTGAGGTTAAATTTAAAGGTCAGTCAGGAACTTTCACAGCTTGTTTCAGCCAATAGGAGGCCAACAGGAAGTGACCTCTGCCTACTGAAATAATCAATAAAGAGATCAAACTCAGAAAATGAAGCTTCCTCTCGTCTGATTGGTTCAGGTGGCGGAGTTCGGCGAGCCCTCCGAGCTGCTGGCCAATGAGAACTCTCGGCTGTGCTCCATGCTGGCCGCCGTGGAGAACAAGATCTCAGTGCGAGGATGAGGAGGAGGAGGAGGAGGAAGAGGAGGAGGAGGAGGAGGAGGAGGATGAGGAGGAGGAGGAGGAGGAGGAGGAGGAGGAGGAGGAGGAGGAGGAGGAGGAGGAGGAGGAGGAGGAGGAGGAGGAGGAGGAGGATGAGGAGGAGGAGGAGGAGGAGGAGGAGGAGGAAGAGGATGAGGAGGAGGAGGAGGAAGAGGAAGAGGAGGATGAGGAGGAGGAGGAGGAGGAGGAGGAGGATGAGGAGGAGGAGGAGGAGGAGGGGAGGGATGAGGAGGAGGAGGAAGAGGAGGATGAGGAGGAGGAGGAGGAGGAGGAGGAGGATGAGGAGGAGGAAGAGGAGGATGAGGAGGAGGATGATCCGCCCTCCGCCCTCTGACCTCCGCCCTCCGACGCCTCCTGCACTGGAGGACAGACTCTAAAATGAAACGAGAATGTAAATAAAATCTCCTCCGAGGTGTTCGGGGAGATTATGAACGTTTGATTGATCCAACCTGATCAATCAATAATATGTTTACCTGTAAACAGCTTGTTTACCTGTAAACAGCATAGAGGATGTAAATACAGTGAAAGCAATAAAAGAGTTATTGAGGTGCACTGATTGACTGATTGATTGATTTATTGATTGATTGATTGATTGATTGATTAGTGGAACCTCAGGTGAGTCCTGCAGGGGTGTAAATCTTTCTTCTTCTTCTCTTTTTAAAACGTGCTGTTTGTTTTTGTGACGTTCAGACTGTTTCCTGTTTGTGTTGGTCGGTGGACAGACGGACTTCCTGTTTGTCCTCAGAGGAAGTTGTCATCGTAAACCTTCAAAATAAAAGCCCAGTAGTTAAAGAGAGAGGTTTTCTTGTAAAGAGGAAGTGTCTCTGCTGTGTGTTTCTAACAGCCTTAAAGCATGACGTCATTACTTCCTTTCTGGGGGGAAATATTGTCAATAAAGTTATTTTAAGATGAAATGTGTTTGTTCCTGATGTCACTGCTCGCTGTATGTGTGAGTATGTATGTGTATTATTAACAATAACAACAATATTAATAACACAGATCTCTGCAGTGTGGGTTAGGGTCCTTTATTGATCCGTAATTAATGAAAGCTAATGAAAGAATCAATCAGCTCTTTCAGCTCCACTGAAATGTTTCTATATTTCTATATTTTATATTTGAATCTGGACTCTGGGTCTTATTTTAAGTTCTTCATTAAGTTACTACTTTATAAAAAAGAAAGATTCTGACACTACTATTATTAACAATGTTAACAATAAAACAACAGTTACTTTATAGTAAAGTTTATCAATAACGTTCATAGAACATAAAATCTATTGGTATTAAAACTGAATGATTATTGATCATTGTTATTATCAGCCCAAAGAAATAAAAATTAATTATTACATTATTATTATACAATATTATTATTGAGTTTAATTATTACATTATTATTATTATATAATATTATTATTGAGTTTAATTATTACATTATTATTATTATTATATAATATTATTATTGAGTTTAATTATTACATTATTATTATTATATAATATTATTATTGAGTTTAATTACATTATTATTATATAATATTATTATTGAGTTTAATTATTGCATTATTGTTATTATAGAATATTATTATTGAGTTTAATTATCATTATTATTATATAATATTATTATTGAGTTTAATTATTACATTATTATTGTTATTATATAATATTATTATTGAGTTTAATTATTACATTATTATTATATAATATTATTATTGAGTTTAATTACATTATTATTATTATAGAATATTATTATTGAGCTTAATTATTACATTATTATTATTATTGAGTTTAATTATTATTATTATTATTATTATTATTGAGTTTATTATTATTATTATAAAATTATATTGACTTTAATTATTACATTATTATATTATTATTATTATTATTATTATTATATAAATACTATTTAATTAACATTATTATTATTATTATATAATATTATTATTGAGTTTAATTATTATTATTATTATTATTATTATATAATATTATTATTGAGTTTAATTATTACATTATTATTATTATTATTATTATTATTATTATTATTATTAAATATTATTGAGTTTAATTATATATTATTATTATATATTATTATTATTATATAATATTATTATTGAGTTTAATTATTACATTATTATTATTATTATTATTATTATTATATAATATTATTATTGAGTTTAATTATTACATTATTTTTATTATTATTATTATTATTATATAATATTATTATTGAGTTTAATTATTACATTATTATTATTATTATATTATTATTATATTATTATTGAGTTTAATTATTACATTATTATTATTATTATTATTATTATTATTATTATATAATATATATTATTGAGTTTAATTATTACATTATTATTATTATTATTATAAAAATATATAATATTATTGAGTTTAATTATTACATTATTATTATTATTATAATTATTATTATTATTATTTAATATTATTATTAAATTATTATTATTATTATATAATATTATTATTGAGTTTAATTATTACATTATTATTATTATTATTATTATTATATAATATTATTATTGAGTTTAATTATTACATTATTATTATTATTATTATATAATATTATTATTGAGTTTAATTATGACATTATTATTATTATTATTATTATTATATAATATTATTATTGAGTTTAATTATTACATTATTATTATTATTATTATTATTATTATTATATAATATTATTGAGTTTAATTATTACATTATTATTATTATTATAAGTATTATTATTATTATAGAATATTATTATTGAGTTTAATTATTATTATTATTATTATTATTATTATATAATAT